CTAAGCCACGGAGCCGGCCCATGTAATAGAAACAATTTAAAAGAATCATTTTAGAAGTATTTTTAGTATTCTTTAAAATTAGAAATAAAGAGAAATCCCACTGCTCAGCCCTCTTCTTCAGGATTCTGCCTTCATGTGAAGAGATGTGAACATCGATAACCAAATGGGGAATAAAATATCAGTTTCATGAACAGACAAGAAAGTGACCATTAATCCGTAAGACAGGCTTCTGGTAAGAGCACGACTGGACAACACGGCTTAGACCTGAGGCTGCAGAAAGAGGCAGAATGGTGAGTCCTGTTCTCTGCAGACATCTGGTCAGGTGGACCAAGGAGAGAACAAAAGCTGAGCAACATACCTGAGGGCAGGTGTTCAACAAAGAGAGTCCCTCTGAGGGGTGGTGTGCACCTGCTCAGACTTCTCCATCCTCAGCCCTTTGGGGCCCATGGCATTTCTCAAGGAAGGTGATATTAGCTTTTGGGTGGGAACATTCCTCGTGGTGTGGGGGTTGGCAGAAATGGCCTCCTCTAGGGGCCAAGGCAGGAACGGGGGAGGGAAGAAGAAGGTCTTCTCCACGGCTGGTTTAAACTCAGGGCTTCTGAGTGGTTATGATATCCCTTATGAGGGTAGAAAACATGAACATGCAACAGACCAGGCATATACAAATAAAGGCACTTGTGTTTTTATTTAGACTGCGCCATCAGGATTTCCAAGGGTAAAAATCCTTTCACACCTTTGTGGATGTTTGAAAAACTGGCTGTATGTTTGGATAAGTAATTTTTTTACCGTAACACAGAAGAAAAGCTGCTATCCTATCAATCGCTCCTTACAAGAAAACATTCTCTGTTACTAGTGAGTTCAAGGTGCCAACTTTAAAGAACATGCTGTTATTTTAAGTGAAAAATCTAAGACAAACTGTACTTAAAAATTTTCACATCTGGTTTTATGAAGTGTAATTTTCACCAGTAGACTGACTTTTTATGGTACTACATCAAAATCAAAAGTGAAATTTAAACCTGAGAGGATAAAAACTAATTTATCTCTCCAGCACAGAAAATATTTAAATATAAAACATCAATTATTCTATAATTATCTGCCAATAGGAAAGTGTTATTTTAATTTTGGGCAGCCCAAATTAAAAATAATGTTTCAAACCAAGAAATATGCTCTTTTTATTATTAACCAAAGTTATTTGGCAACACTTGAAAGATTTTAGGGGAAGCCAGGCAAACCAAAATATAGTTCAACATTCTGATATTTGTGAGAAGAAAATACTGGCTTGCTAAAGAATGATTTCTTCTTCCCCCAAAATATCCTAGTGCTCTGAAATACTAGGCTAGCATTGCTGTTGGACTGGTCTATCTCCACAGAAATAACTGAGTCACTATGAATAAGTATGATTCATACAAAATGAAACATAGCAATGACTCCCCTCCATGCTCTTGGTGGGAGAGGTGGCTGGCAGGGATGGGGAAGGGGTGGAATTGAGAACATTCACCAGGGACTGGCTTATGTGCCAAGCTCTATGCTAAATAGTCTATATAGGTGTCTAACAAGCCCACCCTGTGTCGTTGAAGACAATTACTAATAACTGATAGCTAACTGCTACAGAGATTCTTAAGCAAGGAACATAGAGATTCTGCTGTGAGAAGCAGCTTGATTCTGGATCAACACCTTTCAGTGTCTGCCCTCGGGTGACTAGATCCATAGCTCAGCTAAAACCCCCGTCCAGGTGATTTCAATTGCGCGACCAATAGTCCTGTGGCCTCATTTTCTCCCTCTGCTTCGGCTACTTTGAAAAACGCCTGCCAACCCATTTGAGGTGTCCCTTTAGCCCCCTAATGTAAATTTCATATGTGCTACTTGGCCTATATTTTAATCAAACCATTTCAGACCTCTCCTCCAAATTTGGTGAAAACCGATATAACTGTTTTCATCAAATAGGGTATAACCAGAAAGTAACTTTGTTTTGTTCATATACACTTTACATAATCCTTAGCATGATCAAGGAGCTATTATACCTGTAATGTAGACAAGAAATCAAGACTCATAAAAATTAAGTAACTCTTTCAAGATCACCTAGAGCAGCAGAACTCTCAGCCCTGGACTGTCCTAACTCTTAGTCATGCCGACACGAGCTTTATCTGTGGAATCTTTCGGGTCAAAATTTTGTAAAAGAATTCAGAGTAAAGCATTCATCCAAGTGTAAGGTGAAGCTCTAATAAGACTCCTTTACTAGGTTATATAAACAGGTTTTCTTCCCTATCACTAGAATACGATTTACAAAGTATTTGAAGCTCTGGGCTGCAAAGTATTATTCTAGATTTAGGATAGAGCCTAATTCTTTATTAGGACCAGAGGCAACTGGAAGGACTGTTACATTGCACCATCTCTCCAGTGTCATACAGTGTCTTTCAATCAAGCTTCCATTTGGCCCTCTCACAATAAAAAATAACGAAAGCCATTGAATTTTTCCCAATAAAGATATGTCATTAAGTCATGACGAAGCAGCCCTTGAAAAGATGTAACATGTCACATATAGCCAGAGAGAATGAATTTCTGGATAAGGGTCACACACGGATCATGTACCCCTAAAATCCAATTGTTTCCAGAGAGTCTGAGAAGTTAGGTTTTGTTGTTGTTGTTCCTTTCCAGTCTTTCCAGGACTTTGGCTTATATAAACAAAGGAAGAAGTTTATTTATCAGTCCTCATATGTAAACTAAAATGATCTAAATTAGGGGAATCTAACTTTTCTTTTGCTAGAGAACCGTTTCTTCAAACCAAAGGACACCCCACAAAAGTACACAAGCAAAGCAGTAGCAAAGTGCAAAGTAGTTGCAAGGGGGCACCTCATTCCTGAGTTACAGCTCTACTAAGCTCTGCAGTACAGAGATGGTAACCCACTCACTTAAATATAAAACCTGTGGCTTTACCGAGGAAGAAAAGCATATTCAAAGTAGCATAATAGTTTAGGAAAACCTGGCCCATAAGATCTAAATATGTCTGAGCAAATTGATCTGATATATGCAGAAGTAAAAAATATACTATGGAATAAACATATATTCAACACTCTTTCACACACACATATTTATATGGAGAGCAGTCTAAACACACTATCATCCATAAACCCAAAGTTAAGGGTTTTTCAGTTCTGCCGAAAGGAAACATCAGTGTTTGCATTTCACAATAGTCTAGTGGTTAAGAACTAAGTTTCCGGTCATACTGCCCAAGTTTGACTCTCAACTCTGCTTTTTACAGCTTCTAAACTTCAGTTTTTTTCACCAGTAAGCTGGGTCTAACAATAGGATCTACCTCACCAGGGCATTATGAGGATTAAATGGAAGAATATAAACTGACCACGTACAACAGAGCTTGACACTAAGCAAGCTGTCAGTGAATATTAGTTACTATTCTTAAAATAATATTAAAATAAGTTCTTGTGTTTCCCTCTAAGTATTTATTTCCTTGTTCTATCCAAACATCTCTTGGCAACTGAGAGGCATCTCTTCTATTTCCTCGATAACAATGTCAAAAGCTGACAGGCAAATTATAGGGAATTCATAATAACAAATAATGAGCCACGTTATTTCTGAGGAAGCCTACAATCACTTCAATCCAACAAATGTTCACTGAGCCCTGACTAAGCACTGCTAAGCCATTCAAGGGACAAGAACATGAGCAAAAAGTCCAACCCTACCCTCAAGAAGCTTTCAGTGTGGCAGAGCAGGAAAAATAAACCTGCGAAAAATGGAAAAAAGGATGAAGAGTACTATATTATTTTCCTAGGGCTGCCATAACAAAGCACCACAAAGAGAAGGGCTTAAAATAACACAAATTTATTCTCTCACAGTTCCATAGGCTAGAAGGGCCATGCTCCCTCTGAGACTCTGGATAGAATCCTTCCTTGTCTCTCCCTAGCTTCTGGTGGGGCTGTCAATCCTTGGCATTCCTCGGCTCACAGCTGCATCACTCCAGTCTCTGCCTCCGTCTTCACATGGCCTTCTCCCTGTGTGTCTCTGTCTTCACACCATCTTCTTATAAAGGACGCAAGTCATATGAGATTAGAGCCCACCCTGATGACCTTATCTTAACTTGATTACATCTGCAAAAAGCCTGTTTCCAAATAAGTTCACATTCATAGGTACCAGGGGTTAGGACTTCAACATATCTTTTTGGGGGGACACAATTCAACACATAATAAATAATAGCAGCTTATATAAAGATTGGTTTCTACAGATATCAAAGTATTAATGAAAAGATTTCTGTGGCCTCTTCAGGAAGGACATCCCACTTACATGAAATATGATGACCAGAGTCAGGACCCCTCAGGCCTCTTTTGTTTTTTGTCTTGTTTTGTTTTGTGCTGTCTGATTACAAGAACAATGATATCTAACATTTTTTGTGCCCTTATATTGTGATAATCTCTTAGCATGAATCATCTCATTTAACCACTACAATAACCCTCTATGGTTGCTTCTATTATTAGCATCCCCATTTATAGATGAGAAAACCGAGGACTGGAA